ATTCATTTATAGAAGAAAAAAGTTTGTGTGTTCTCTTCTACCATTTTTTTCTTCTTCTTCCAATTTTCTTTTCTGTTTATTTCACAATTTGGTATCAGGCTCATGAAAATCTAGAAGTTTTGCGATGGGACAAATACCTCTACCACGACTCACGAAGAACAAATTAGATAATTGGATATTCAGATGCGGAATCTCTCGTGTGTGTGGTTTATGAATGGGAAAATGGAAATATATGATTTTTTTTTCTTGATATTGAAAATCATTGATGATTTTTGGATTATAAGTGGGAAATATGTGTTTTTTAATCATATATAATAATTTATTTTATTAGATTTTATAGCCAAATATAGATTTTAAATGTGTCAAGATAATGCACTATTTGGCTAAAGCTGGGGCGGAGGCATAATTTTTTTTCTAATGGGAGCATAATTTATCTGTTTTAAAAATATGCTTAACTTTTTTCATTTGTGCTTAGCATATATAGGTGGTTTAAATTTTTTTAAATTCAAAATCCTCTTTATAAATTAGATAAATATATGATTAAAAATTTTCAATTGAGAAAATTTGCTCTTCTTATTCTACTTATATATATATATATATAGTTTTTCCTTCTAAATTTTTATATTTTTAAATCATTATATAATTTTTTTTTTGTTGATTTAGAATTCTTTCCGAATCCAAATTGGCATTGATTTGAACGGTTTTGATGGCTCAATTATATAATTGATTAGGAAGTGATTACTTTCCTAATTAAGTTTATTTGATTTGATATTTAATTGGAGATTTAATTGATGCTTTAAAAAATTTTAGAAAATGGTGGTCATAACTACAATTTTTTATGGTGTATAATGTTGACCATTAAAAGAGAAGCATAATATTAAGTTAAGTGAAAAAATCTATAAGATGGTGGTGAGACCTGCAATGCTTTAAGTGGAGGATCATGATATATATATATATATATATATATATCATGAATATCTGCATATTTTTGCTTCTCAACTTTTAAGTTTTAGCAAGGAGATAAAAAGATCCTACGCATAACGAAGATTTCCAGAGATCTTAAAATGGCAAATAGTGGAGAAAATGATTTGTTATATTTCACTTACTAAAGCAACATTTAATTTAATGCTGATGCGGAGCATTGTAGTTTAAATCGTTCCTTTGACATATGTTATCTAGTTTGTTACAAGTTTGTTATAGGATTTTAGAACTTTCTAGTTTCCTACCAAAGCATTATATATAGTTTGATATAAGGAAGGATGAGCATTGATGAATATTATATGAATTGAAGCCTTTGAGCTTGTTTATCCTCTTATTCTTGAAAATCCTTCAAGCAACATCTTCTTCCAACGATCCAACAACGATCTCCTCACATAAGTTGGTATCAGAGCCCGAAGCTTGTGAAGAACGATAGATTTCAAAAGGTGGGCAGTCGACGACGATCGACGCCGAAGAAGGATGGTGGTTGATGACAATCGACACCATGAACTCCTTTGGGTAGCTCAAGTGATTGCATCACTTGATCGAATGAATGCTTTATGTGTTAAATTCATGCATTCGGTGGAGAGAACCATGAGCAGGTCAACAACCATACCGGCCTTATTGCTCCTCTGTTCCTGCAACAGGAACGCACAACCAACCCAGCTCCAATGCGATCCTTCGGTCGCTGATTTCTATTTCAAGGAAGGAAAGCAATTCACCATGTCCCGATCAGATCCGCCTTCAGAACCCACGCCTCAACCTTCACTCCAGATCCCAGTTCGATCTCGCGACTCCCTCCCCAACAAAACAACCACCGCTGCCATTCCTCATGACCATTGTCTGCTCCCACTCAGATCCTGCGACCCCAAATCCTCTCACGCGTCCGTCCGGACCGCACTCCCCCTCCCATTCCTGCCTCCACAACTGCCCCCACCCAACTTCCGCAATCCCACGCGGAGGAGGAAGAGAACATAATTTGTTTGCAGGAAATTGACGCAACTATGAAGTCAAAGACAAATGGTCATTGTTTTGGTATTTACACTAACCGTCTCTTAGGAAGCTCCAATGCATCCAAATTCCCCCAATCTCTTGCTGGCTTTCCTCCAGCTCTCATGCAAAGCAGCTCTTCTTCTTAGTCTCCTCCGTGGAAAGCTTCACCTATAACAACAACTGTTTCCTCTTCTACTACGCTCTCTCTCTCAACATCAGTTGCAACTCTTACACTAGTTTTCTGTGGAAAAGGATTTCAATCCAAATCCAAAAGCAATAATAATATGTGCTTTTCTAGTAGTCTGGTGCTGGCTAAAGTGAAAGGGCACGTGGTTGAAATGATTCCGGCAAATAATATGGCTAATATAGAGCAGAAGCTAATCAAGACCGGCCCCAGGATTGATCCATTTGATATCGAGAAGCTTGACGTTCCTGGTGTCCAAAGGCATGATTATGAGGACTTTAATTCAAAACTACCAGAACCTTTCTTTGGCCAAATGATCCATTCAATGATAAGTCAAAATGGATGGACCAACATAGTGGAGTCAATGGAAACACATAGCCTAGTCTCGTTTAACACAGTGATGGATGCACACATGACTCTTGGCAACATGGAAGAAGTTTTGATCTTATTTCAGACAGCACTAGACACCAATATTGCATCATGGACTTTCATTGTTGCATGATTTGCAAGAAATTTCTATGGAGAGGAGGCTCTTCATTACTTTGTAAACATGCAGAGAAGCTTGCATTTATCTAATTCATCCACATTAAGCACAGTCCTTCATGTTTATGCCATATTGACGGTCCTCAAAAATGGATTAATGGTTCAGGGATGCGCTATTCATCATGGCTTCGAGCAATTTGTCTATGTTCCCAATGGTTTAGTGAACATGTATGCTAGATGTGGTGACATCAAAAGTGCCAGCAAAGTGTTTGATGAAATGAAAGCAAAGGAGCTTGGAGTTATATTTGCATATGTTGGAACTCATCCACCA